GATTGCGGCGTGACCATCCCCCCTGGGGGGTGATTTCTCGCTTTCTGTCTCTATGTCTCTCTCTGTCTGGCGAGCGCACGTGCCCTATAGCGAAAATCTCTCAAAAAAAAAAAAAAAAGATCTGAGCAATTACTGGCACCCACAGGAATTTATTTTATGGAATTAATATATCATCTGCTTGTTTTTATATTTAGTCTATGGCTCATGGGTCAAATCCAAATCACTTTTCATACAGCACATATGTTAAGAATGACTTTTATGGAGCCAGCAGGTGGCGTGGTGGTTAAGGTGCTGGACTGTCTTGTGGCTGACCGCAGTTCAAGTCCTGGACCTGGCAGCTTAATATTTATGTCAGGCATTTGTGCGTGTGTGTGTGTGTGTGTCTGTGCTCCAAATCCCAAGAGGGTAATGGAGAAGGAAGGGGTTATGGTATGGCTGTCCTTCCTGGCAGGGTGATTTCTTGCTTTCTGTCTCTGTCTGTCTCTTCCATGAGAGCACACACCCTAAAGAAAAAAATCTCTCTCTCAAAAAAAGAGTACTTTTGCATTTTTAAAGGGCTATAAAAGAAAAATGAAGAACGTGTGACAACACCATATGTGTCCTGCAAAATGTAATATATTTATTTTCTGACTTTTATTTTTAAAAAGGTTGAAAAGGTTGGTTTAGCATAAAAAGAAGAATTAACGTCAGATTGTTGCCTCAAGGAAAAAAAAATATGGTCTATATTTATTAATTCGAATACCATTAACCCAGATTTTTTGGATAATTTAACATGAATCTAATATTAAATAATTAACTAAGCAGATGAGTTATATAAATAACATTATCAAGAATATTAAGCTACCAAGACAATAGACTTAAATGCAGAAATTTAATATTCATTTTAATAATTAATGTTTAAAATGATGGATAAGTGATATAACCAGAAATGTTTACACTAAGGAAGCTATCAGAAATGAATGTTTTAACTCTTCACTACCTGCAAAGTAAAAGTCTCTCCAGCCTTCTTTCTTTCTTTCTAATGAAAAAAAAAAGATTTATTTTATTTTATTTATTCATTCATTTATTTTAATTTTACCAGAGAGAGAAAAAGTAAGAAAGCAAGCTACCAGATCCAGGACTCAAACTGTGATCAGCCATGTGGGAGTGTCCACCATCTTAACCACCATGCCACCTGTTGGCCCCCTCTTCATCCTTATTTCTTTTTTTTTGGAGAGATTTTCGCTATAGGGCACATGCGCTCGCCAGACAGACAGAGAGAGACATTAGAGACAGAAAGCGAGAAATCACCCCCCGGGGGGGATGGTCACACCGCGATCCCTTCTTCTCCTCCATTCTCCTCTTGGGATCTTGGGCACGCACGCACACACGCCCGGCGTGAGTTTTTAAGCTACCGGGTCCAGGACGCGAACCACAATGGACTACGTGGGAGTCCAGCGACATAGCCATTACACTAACTGCTGGTTCCCTCCATCCTTATTTCTAAGAAGCGAATCTTGTATAATACTTCTGATAAAGATAAGATGATACTATGTTCTTTGCAATAGAAACTTGATTCTTATTCTTTGTCCATGCGATCAAAAAGTATGTATGTCATTAATCTGTGGTAATCTAATCAATGATGTTCTTTAGCAAATAGGTTTTTCTTTCAAATGTAAAAGGCTTAAGGGGATTGAGTGTAAAGACCCTCACATGACAGTAAAAACAGTCTTTCTAGGCCTTAAGGGAGTGACCACATTTGCATTGGTCCTTTCGGGCACTTCTGCCATCTGACCTGCCAGACCTTACAGACACAGTTTGGAGGAAAAATTAATCTCTACACACACACGGATACATACATACACTAAGCACTGTGCCTAATTTTAGAGGCACAAAGGTGAGTAAGACAAGGTTCTTATCCTCCTAGGAACCCATGGTCTCTTAATGTAAACAAACACATAAAGCAGAGGGGCAGAGAGGGACCATGAAGAAATAAAGCTACATTTCTTTTAAAAAATCATTGTCTTCTCTTATTCAATCCCTAATTATTCATTTATTTTATAAATATTTGAGTGAGCTTCGTATGTGCATGTGTTGGGTTTAAACATGGTGGACAGTGCATGTGAGCAAGACCTAGTCCATGCTTTCAAGGAGTTTATGCTGAGAAAGAATGAGACACTAAAGTAACTATTAAAAAGAAGAGATTGATACGGGCACTTTGAGTTATAAATGATTTCTAGAGCAGTACAGAGGAGGAAGACTTCCACAGAGATCAGGAGATGTTACTAGAGCCATGCTGTTTGAACAGGACCTCAAAGGGCCATCGGGTGAGAAATCACCTTCCAGGAGATGGTCTTGCCGCAATCCCTTCTCCTCCTTTCTCTTCCTGGGATTTTGGGCATGCACACACACATGTCTGGCATGATTTTCAGGCCCTAGGTCCAGGACTCAAACGTGGTTGGCCATATGGGAATCTAGCACTTTCAACACTGCCACCTGCTGGCCCTTAGTTTTCTTTTCTAAGGGAGAGAGGAATCAGTTATGTCTCTGCTCCTGTATCATTTAGGGGCTAGTAGATGGCATGGTGGTTATATCATTGGACTCCCATCTGACTGACCATGGTTTGAGTCCTAGAACCAGTGGCTTCAAAATCATCCAGAGTGTGTGTGTGCATACCCAAGATGCCAGGAGGAGAATGGAGAAGGGATTGCAGTGTGGCCACACCCCTGGGCAGTGGTTTCTCACTTTCTTTCTCACTGTCTCTGTCTTTCTCTCTGGCAAGCATATGTGGCCTATAGCAAAAACCTCTTTTGAAAAATCAATCATTGGGACCAGCAGTTGGCGTAATGGCTATGTTGCTGGATACTCATGTAGTCGACCACGGTTTGAGTCACTGACCCTAGTGGCTTAAACTCACACTGGGCGCACGTGTGTGTGTGCCCAAGATGCCCAGAGGAGAATGGAGGAGAAGGGATTGTAGAATGGCCCTCCTACGTGGGGGGTGATTTCTCGCTTTCTGTCTCTGTCTTTCTCTGTCTTTCTGGAGAGCACATGCACCCCATAGCAAAAACCTCTCCAAATAAATAAATAAATAAATCAGTAAGTCATTTAATCTCCCACTGTCATTTATACTTGAGACTTTTTAACATTTAGCAATTTTTAGGAGCTGGAGGGAATGCATAGTGCCTTATTTATTTATTTATTTATATTTTTGCTATAAAGTATGTGCATTCTCTGGAGAGACAGAAACACAATGTGAGAAATCACCCCTCAGGGTGGATGGCCATTCTCCAGTCCCTTTTCTTACATTCTCCCAGGACCTTGGGCATGCATGCACATATATCCAGTGTGAGTTTCAAGCCACCAGGTCCAGGACTCAAACCCTAGCCAGCCATGTGGGAGTCCAGCGATGTAACCCCTACACCATCTGCTGGCCCCTCTCCTTTTTTAAACAACACTCCAATGCCTCATTCTCATCATCAAGTGCACAGTCTCTCCTCCTTGCCACCCCACTCACCTTCCCCATCTCCCACGGTTGGAGACACTTGGGAAATCCAAATCTAGTAAAACCCACTCTCCATGTAGTCATCACTGACACCCAAGCAGCTAACCACAGGTGACCATGGAGCATCACTGACCTGACATCTGTCTCTATCAGGCCTTCTCCTAAGTCTTTTGAGGCCTTACATATTTTTAATGCAATCAAGCATTTATTTCCACATTTGTGTCATATACAGTGAGCAAGTCACACTGATATAAACAGGGTCTTGCATCTTTTACTTCATGGGCATGACCCAGAGTCGTCTGTTCTTCACTTGGTGGTGTAAGGGACTTGGGACATGACAGAACACAAACGCACCCTGACGTTGGCAGCATCTCACCCACTTGCTGATTTTCTGTGAGGCTCTCTCCGAGCTCAGTGCAAAGCCACGTCACTCACAAGTGCATGGGCTCCAGGCAGCCTGTCCACATTACAGTCTGTGATACTTCCAAAGAAATCAGACCAAAAATGCAGACGTAGTTACAGTGCAGGACAATAATGCCAGTGCTTATAGTTCAGGTTCTCCCATAGATATTCCCAGACTATAAAAGAGCATAGGGATGGATTTTCATAGAAAGTGTCTGGTAGAAAGCGGAAGGCCTCTTTATAAGATTCACAGCCCCTTTTAAAGAGGCCTTACATTTTCCACCCGGCGTTTTCTCTGAAAATCCAACCCTATGTTCTTTTATATTCCAGGAACATATCAAATTTTCTGCTTCCCTGGTAGGGAATCTTTTCCCGCATCCAAAGACTTAGTCTTTTCAGCAACTTTACCAATTACTTCAAGGACCAGAGGGTGGTAGAGCCACACGTGCAAGCTCTCTTTCTTAATTCAGTCTTCCATCCAAGTCATATGATTGCTGAGGGAAACTCGGAACAAACCAGACGCTTTCCAATCTAGTGAAAGAGGATGACGTCAGGACTGAGCAGACCAAGCTGAGCCAAGGAATGAGGGCTGTCTGAGAGATTGGCTTCATCCCCCTGAGCCCCCTTTGATAACAGAATCAAAGAGAATTCAATATAG